TAAATTAGACTAATGCACTATTTTCTGTTCCCTGTAAATAGAGGTAGTAGATTAACTGCATATTAGCTACTGTGCAATACTGTTTGTGTAAATGTTGACCAGAAGCAAAATCTGTTTCCCGTCAGCCACACCAGAAGGAGGTTGCATGGGACGAAGGAGTCCTCTGTCCCCAGTCCTGATGATGCTCAGCTCCCAGACATCTGGGAAGCTCTCTGTTCCCTACTGAGCCAAGGGCTCGCTGGCAGCTGCCCCCCTTGTGTTGTTCCCCACACAGCAGGGACCTGGTGGACAGTTATCCCACCTGTGGAGCTCCCTACCCATCAGGGGACTGGCCAGGAGCTATCCCTCCCAGCAGGAGGCTCGTTGGCAGCTGCCCCAGAAGTGGGACAGGTCCCAGTGAGCCCCTGGCTGGGTGGGGAAGCCCTATTGTGTGCCAGACTAGCTGCTAGCTGTGTGTCCTAATGTGCACAGGGTGGGATAGTTCTGCAGGTTGCAACAGCAGCTGTTTCCCAGCTCTGTGCACATCAGGACCCCTCTCAATGTACACAAGGCCAGGAGACAGCTGCTCCTGCAGCCAGCAGAACTCTCCTGGTCCTCTGTGCATCAGGACTATCATCTGTGCCCCCCTGCTAATCCCCAGGCTAGCACCTCCCCAAGGAGCCTGTAGCTTCCCAAGATGCAGGGGGGCAGACCATTGCGGGAGCAATCCTGTACTGGGCAACATTCACTGTGAGCAGATTTACTCTCAACAGGGTCCATGTGTAGATGTGCTCCGAGAAGACTTACTACACAGTATTTTACTGTGCTGTAGGCCTATATCATATTAATAGCGCATGTAGACATGCCTGGTTTGCAGCATGGACTGAAACATCTGGACTACACCACATGCAGCTCCTGTTCTGGCCACCCTGGGATCAGCTGGAGCAGCCACTGGATAAGGTATGCTGGGGGGGAAAGGAGTTTTGTGGGGTAGATCCTATCTATGGACTGACCCCAAAGCATGGGTGTACACTGTGCCTCATGTGGGTCTAATCAGACCCAGGGGCAATACCAGGGCCAGAATATGGGGCTCCTCAGGCCACATTTGACCTGCAGGCCATATGTTTGATACCGCTGTCCTAAACAGAGCAAACAAGGTGTAAATCTATAACAAGGCTCTCATATACTGCCACATCTGCTCCAAGGAAAATACTTGTGAAACCTGCCTTAGCAACCTAAAAACTATTATTACCTAGCAAGGACACTCTAGCAGAGAAATGTACTGAATCTTTGAGCCACCCAAATACTCAACATAACTTATTAAAAAATGTGCATAACTTACAAAAAGAATCCCCCACTAACTGCACACATCTGGTTGTCACCTACCATTCCACAATAGAATCCATAATAAAAATAATCCAAAACTGACTCAAAGAGGATCAGACATTGATGGAAATATCTTTAACCTCTTCACCCCTGGGTTTCAAATAATCTCCAAATCTCAACCAACTCGTCATCAGAAGCAAACTCTCTCCTGATCAGGAAACACAAAAGTGGCATGCATCCTGCTTTAAGAATAAATGCAAAACCCACCAACACACCTCCACCCCCACTCCACAATCAACACTCCCTGTACTGAAGCCATCAGAATTCACATGTGTATCGTATGTAGATCCTACTCAGGTTTATCACAGGGTATGGTATACCTCATCCAATGTACCCAGAGCCAGCCTTAGGGGTGGATGATTTGGGCAAGTGCCCAGGATGTCATGATCAGAGGGGCATCAAATGCAACCCCACCTCAAGCTACTGGTCAGGAGAAGCTGGGCTGGGCATATGTGGGTGGGGTGGTGCCTGCTCCAGTTCACCTGCCTTGCTCCTATACAGCAGCAGGGATGCCTGCCTGCCTGCCTGGTACACCATGCCACTAAGCCTCCCAACTGGACTGCACCCTATGCCACTACCTAATTGCCTCTGCCTTCAGCAGCATTGCTGACTTGGGGAGGGGGGTGGCAGGCACCAAAATACAAGTTCCCGCAGGGCAACATTTTCCCTAAGGCTGGCTCTGAATACACCAAGTGCCCTCATAGAAACCTTGAGTGAATAAATACACAAACACTATGCTCCAAAATGAATTCTCACAGAAATAAAATGGACAGAAACACCCAGTCACCTGGGAAGAACACTTTATTTTCACAGAACCATCATTCTATTTCTGGCTTCGTAACCCTTACACTTGAGGAGAACCTACAAAGCAACTTCAGAAGATGCTTCTGGGAAAAAAAATTGTAACTTTACTGGACACTGAATATTAGGCCCATGTGAATAGGGAATTATTTGATTTGGATTTGGCCAATTTGGATGCCAGAGATTCGATTTGGAAATCTGAATCATTTTTCTGATTTGATTCAGCTGAATTGCTTCGGAAGATTCAGAGCCAATTCGGAGATACGTCCATAGAGTATAATGGGGACACAATGAAATATCTATAACCTTGTTGTTTTTTGGCTGATTCAGATGAAACTTGCAGAGATGGTAGTCTCTTGCAGCCTCTTGCAGGTGTCATGTTCTCAAGTACAATGGGATTCAATTTGGATTTCTAGATTTGGCCTCCAAATCATCAGAATCATTTCCGAATCTGGATGATGTTTACTCTAGGTTAACTGATTTTTTCCCATGCCACCTGTCCCTATGCCCCCCCAAGCACCACCTGCTCTGTGATCATTACCACCAAACACGTTCCTTATCACAGATCCTACAGTCTGTCCATCCGGCTTCAACCTGCCATGCTGTCAGTAGGCCTTGCTGAATAGGAATGTGGTCAAGAGGGCCAGAATTGAGTTCTCAAGGTTTGGCAATGCCTTCTGGTGCAGAGCCAGCTACCTGGGCTTATGCTGTTCAGCCCTCTCCCAACTCCCCATGCCAGGACAGGAAGGTATGGTTCCCCATGAATTCCTGCCTCATTTTAGACATCCCAGTCAGTCCAGACAGCCCTCAGCATCCTCCACTGCAGTATCTCAGTTTCCCCATCCTAGCCAGCCCTTTCCTCCCACTACTGCAAACCCCCCAAATACTCCAAAGCAGGAAGTATCTTGCACAACAGTGTGAATAGAAGATGGTCACTGAGAATTAAAGGTTTGAAATCACTCAAAGGTCCCCTCTTCTTCACCCTCTTTTGCCCTGCAGAATGTTGTCCCAGGCTTCCTTGATCAGATCAGTCTTGTCATGGGTGTGCCCATGGTACTCAGTCACAAGCATTGCTTAAGCCTGGGCCCCATCCAAAGTAGGTCCACCCAGAGCCATACTGGTGTCCAGGCAGGCTTCTCCCTTCACCTTGAATATACTATGGAGGATGTAGGTCACAGCCTTGAAGCTGGAAACATTCCTGTTCCTGAGGTCAAGGTGGACTTCCAATGACCTCCAGAATGTCTTTAGGCAATAAAAGATGAACCCCATCTTTATTTGGCAGCCCCTCAGCCAGTAATTGAAATCCTCCTTCCTAAAGTCCATTTGACCAGTGTACAGATTCATGAGCCAGGGAGAGGAGTGGGTATATCAAGGTGGAAACCGTCAGCCCAGCCAAGTCAATGATGGAAGTGCCAAAGGCAAACTCCTCTCTACTCCATCAAACTGCATCTAGGGAACCAGGTCTCCTGAATATGCAAGTATTGTACACCCATCCTGACCACCCAATGTTGTGTTGATGAAGCACCCCTGGTGGTCCATGAATGCAGATATAACCAAAAAGAGCCCCTCACAGTTGATATAATCTGATGTTTGGTGAGTGGGGCACAGAATGGGCATGTGGGTCCCATAGATAGCCCACGCAGTTTGGGAAAATGAGCTGTTCAAACCCAGAGATTATCTTCTGTGGGCCCCCAGCCTGGATGAGCTGAGGCCACAGCTTCTGCTTCACCCACTTTGTGCATGGACATCATCACAGCTATCCCTCTGAAATGGAGTTCACCTCCAGGGGTGGCTGTAGCTCCCCCTGGTGGCCAAATTTCACCTGCCTCCTTGCCTGCCTACACCTTGCTCTTTAAGTTAACATATATTTTAGGAGGCTGCCTTCAGGGAACCAGAGTTCAGTCCTTGATACCTTGCTTCACCCTGTTCATCATCAGGCTTTTGGTCTGCCCAAATGTCACACCCTAGCCTGAGTAGGGCTTTATCTCTCTCTGCCTTCTCATGCTGGGCCATGGACCCCTCCTGAGCTTTGGACTGTTTCACTTTGTTTGAGGTCCCTGGTCCTGTCTGGGTTTCAGCAGTTTCCATGCTTCAGCCTGTCAGTTTCTCTGGGCTCCTAGTCCTGAATCACTTTTGTCTGGGCTTCATCCCCTCCCAAGCTTTGTCCCCTATCCCAAGGTTTTAGTCCTTCACAACCCACAAGGTCCTGTATCCTTGCAGGGCTCTATCTGAGCTTCAGGCCTTCATAACATGGAGTGCCTCCTCAGTACCCAATTTGTGGCCTCCTCCTCCCCTTTAAGCCACTCCAAACCTCATGGCTGACTTTCATGCAAAACAGAAGTGAAACATGAAACCTATCTTTTTATATACAGCTCCCTGTAGAGCTCCTGAAGTCACTGAGATCTGGGCCAGACTTCTCCATCCTGGGTCAAGTCTTATATGGCTTCTAGGTCCTCTCCTTCTGGCTATTTGGCCTGGATCTCTGGAAACTCGACTCAGGTCCTGCCAATCCCAAATTGGCAGCAAGGGCTCTCCAACTTCTCATTAGCTGTTCAGAGCCCTGCAGCTCAACTTTCTGCAGGTTGCATTCCCCTAGCCTGCCTTCTATGATACTGTTCCAGATTCCTTCCAGTGTTGGCTACAAAGGACCAACTCACAGGATCCTCATAAAATTCTAGTTTATTAGACGGATGCAAATGTAAGATCATAAACTTTAGGGCTAATCCCCTCAAACACACACACATTCACGCACACACACACACACACACACACACACTCACAGTAACTAGCTATGAACACTAAGCGCGGGTGTCAAGACATATCTATCCCCAAGTGCCGGAGTCCACCATCAGTGGCCAGTCAAGGCTTCTTTCAGTGTGATGTTGCTTCAGAAGGGGGTCACTGGCTGGTCCTTCTGGCTGGGCAGGCAGGGTGCTGGTCAGGTAAAAGAGGATGCCATTGGGGGTCATACTTCACTGCCTTTTATCCCTCTCTGGCAGACTTTGGTGACTCCCCAGTTTTCATGCTTACCCAATCCAGGAGTCATTGATCTCATGGGATGTCCCTCTTGGTGGTTGCTGGATGGCAACTGTCAGCCCCAGGGGTCACGTCAGCAGGTATGTGCAGTCTCAGGAGTCCGTTGATGAAGTCTGATTAATTAACTGTTGTGGTGAATAGGGCTCTGGGGGTGGTTGATCGGGGGGTGTTCAGTCCCAAGAGTCGGTCTTCAGCACTGATTAGTTCAAACCAGGGCTTCTGTACCTTTAACAGTAAAGTTTCAGGGAGTTCCCAGCTCTGTATTGATCCTTTCCTCTCCTTAGTCTGTGGTTTCATAGGTGTTAATTGCCGCTCATTAACTTGTTATCCTGTCTATCTACTGTGTTATGCAATCAATCAAGATTCATTCAGGGACCCACTCAATACTGAGAAGCTGTGGTTCGATTCCCGCCTTTGCGGGTTATATGGTACAACCCAGTGATTCAGCCAGCTTTCTATCCACCTTACAATCCATTCATACAACTCATACTTCCTCAGCTTGCTTGCAAGAATGCTGTGGGAGACCATATCAAAAGCCTCGCTAAAGTCAAAGTATATCAGATGCACTGTTTTCCCTGCATTCACAGAGTCAGTCATCTCATCATAGAACCAGGTTCATCGGGCATGATTTGTCATTGGTGAATCCACGTGGACTCCCTGATCACTTTCTTCTCCAAGTGCTTAGAAATGAATTCCTTGAAGACATACTCCATGAACTTTTCAGGGACTGAAGTGAGGCTGACCAGTCTGTATTTCCCCAGATCCTCCTTCTTTCCTTCCTTAAAAGGTGGGCACTATATTTTCCCTTTTTGCAGTTGTCTGGGCTGTCTCCCAATCTCCATGAATTTTCAAAGATAATGGCCAGTAGCTCTGCAATCACATTGCCAACTCCCTCAGCATCCTCAGGTGCATCCAATCAAGCCCTATGGACTTGTACACATACAGTTTTTCTAACTAGTCCCTAACCTGTTCTTTTACCACTATTAGCTGCTCAGCTCCTCCCCAAACTGCACTGGTAGGCGTAGTAGTCTGGGATCTGACCTTGCCTGAGTGAAGACTGAGGTAAAAAAGGCATTGAGTACTTCAGCCTTTTATGCATTCTCTGTCACTAGATTGCCTCCCCCATTTAGTAAAGGACCTATACTTTCCCTGATCCTCCTCCTGTTGCTCACATATTTGTAGAAACCCTTCTTGTTACCTTTCACATCCCCTGCTAGCTGAACTATAGTTCCATGTTGACATTACTGATTTCATCCCTGCATGCCTGAGAAATACGCTTATAGTCCTTCCTAGTTGTTTGTGCAAGTTTCCATTTCTTATAAGCTTCCTTTTTGTGATTTAGCTTACTGAAGAGTTCTCTCCAAAGCCAAGATGGTCTTGTGCATGGGCACTGGTGCCTCCTGAGTTTGGGGGGCACCTGCAGAAGCTGGCAGCTGTGTTGGTGACAGGGATGGGGCTAGTGAGCATCAACAGAAGCCAGCATTGGTGGCAGGGCCAGGGCTGGCAAACACTTACAGAAGCCGCCGGTGGCATCAGCAGTGGGGCTGGGTCTGGCAAGCACCTTCACAAGTCACCAGTGGCACTGGCAGCAGAGACAGCCCTGTGAGGGAGGGCACGTACCCTCCTATGTGCCCCCTTGCAGTAGCCTATGGTTTGGTGCCAGACTTGCTAGTCTCCCTGCACATCAGGATGGTTTGTTCCTGCACTGTCAGTAAAGTTTGGTCAAAGTACATCCAACTCTCCTGGACTCCTCTCCCCCTCAGATTGGCCTCCCAGTAGTTTCTGCCCATGAGTTCCTGAGTGAGTCCAAGTCTGCTTTTCTGAAGTCTAAGGTCCTTACTTTGCTGCTCTCCTTCCTTCCTCCCTTCCTTTTATCAGGATCCTAAAGTCAGTCATCTTGCTGCTGTCCAAGTTGCCATCCACTACCACATGCTGACAAATATCTTCTGTTTGTTAGCAGCAGGTCAAGAAGAGTACCACCCATAGTTGGCCACTCCAGGACTTGCACCAGGAAATTGTCCCCAACACTCTCCAAAAATTGCCTGGGTTGCCTGTGTACTACTGTATTGCCCTCCCAGAAGATAGCAGGGTGATGGTGGCTCCCATGAGAACCAGGGCCTGTGATTGGGAAACTTACTCTAGCTGTTTGAAAACAGCCTCACCTACCACATCTTCCTGGTCTGGTGGTCTACAGCAGATCTCCACTATGACATCATGCTTGTTGCCTTCCCCTCTGACACTAACCCATAAAAGTAAGGAATTTTATACCCTTGAATGACCTGGGCAAAACAAACCAAATATAAACTGCAATGTAGTGGCATATTTTTAAGACATTTAGATGATACTTATGGCAGTTTAACACCCATTAACTAATGACTGCTTTCATTTTAAATGTCTTCATCATGTTTTTTTATGTAACCTGTGCCAAAGACCTAAGTCTAAAACTTTAAGCCAACTCAGTGTTTCAGGAAAAAATGTTTTGTTCAGTTAATTTCCTTTGCTTTTCATAATATGTTACTTCATAGCCTTTTAAACACTTGTTTTAGCAGATACTTCTGCAAGCCAGTGGTGCTTACACTTCTTTCTCCAAGCACTCTTTTAGTGCTTAGAATTTAGATATAAAATAATGAGTGTCAAAAAAGTGAGTGAATGAATTAATGCAATTTCTTGCTCCATATTTGCACTTCTTAAACATGTCAATCCAACTGTGGAAAATAAAGCAAATTAATTAAATGGTAAAAAGTATATTTCTTAATTTGCAAGATCTTGGTCAGACAGACTCTATTATTCTAAATGCATGTTATTCTTAAAGCTTTTGTATATTTAAGTTTTATTGGATTTTGTTTAAGCAAGTTTGTAACACTTGTACACATTATACATGTATTAAAATAAACAGATTATCACTGCAGTTTATAAACAGTAAAAAAACCAAAACCCATAATTCCAGTCCTTCTGAGATAAGATTCTCAGACAAGGTGCTAAATTGGATAGAATTGAGGGCATTCAGCATCTTACTAGAGGAGAACTGCTCTCTGTGGAACATGGTTCATATAAATTATCATAAATACAACATCAGTAAAGGTGAAAATTAAGGTATAATGGGAACATTGCAATCATCACAAAGAACATACAACATTGAACTGTGTGTCATAAATCTTATAGGTTAAGATTAGCTTGAATGCTAGCATCAGCTATCATTAAATTTTCTATTCTACTACTCCTGTTAGGAGAAAGAGATGGTGTACAAAGTTGAAATAAGAGCAAAAAATAGATTTCATTGAAAATAAATGCTTTTCAGCAAAACAACATGTCTCCTCAATAATGGTAGGGCTTCATCTAGAGTACTATGCATTTTGGAGGGGTCCACATTTTAAAAAGTACGTAGAAATAGAAAGGGTCTAGAAGTAGGTGACAAGAATGATAAAGAATTTAGAAGCCAAGTCATATGAGAGGATGAAAGAAACAGGCATGCTTGGGAAAATGGGATTAAGAGGGAACATGACAGCAGTCTTCAAATATCTGAAGGGCTGGTACAAAGAAGAGGGTAACTGTGGGTTCTCTGGTCCACTTGACATTTTCCCTACTACAGCCAACACTCTGCTGTTCTTTGGTTTCTCTCCTGCCATGACTTTCTCAGTATTATGGTGGACACACAAAAATGTTGGCCCAAGGAGTCTTCTGTACCCCAACTGGTCCTTTTCCAGAGCTCTCCTCCCCTGCACCCTGGTCTATCACTCACCCATGTTGTTTAGCCATGGTGGGTCTGGATTCTATTCCTCAAATGTGCTTTCACTCAGAATAGTAATTACTGACTTTGTCTTCTTTGGAGATTGCCTCCTCAAAACAAAAATTAATAGTTTTATCCCTCCTTCTCTTGAGGGTCTCTTCAGTAAGCCTGCAGTTTGGTCTCAGTCAATGCCAAGCCCTCTCTGGGCTCAGTTCCTAATGATCTTCTCCTCACACTGCTAATAATCTTTGCCTAATCTCCACGCAGGCCCCAGGTAAGTAACCGGGATTCCCCCTTTCTTGGGATAGTCAGTATACTATCAGAGGGTCAGCATTCTTCAAAGCCCCTTTTCCTGCAGGAATGCTTTGCCTACTGGTCCACAGAGTGCTCCCCCACAGCAACATCCTCAATGTACCTTCCTGCAATATCCTGTTGAGTGAAGTCCTCCTCCAGGCTCCTGTGGCACTCACTCCACACTTCCATTTGGTCCAGGATAGGCATACTTTGTTTGCCCCTTTCCAGGGACAAGCCTTAGCCTGAAGCTTCTGTGGTCTCCTTCAGGATGACTGGAACTCCTGGGGTTTTCCAGGTATCTGTCCTTGCCCAGCTAAATTGGTAGCTGAAGGCTTTAATCCTTTCATGTCCAGGTCAGGCTTACCTGGGGAAGTGAGCGTAGCAGGGCAGGGTCTCAGATTCCTGCTCCAAAGAGGTAGAGTATCTTTTTTCTGTTGCTGCAGAGAACAGGAATCAGAATGGCTTAAAGATGCAGCAAAGTAGGTTTAAATTAGATATCGGGGGGAGGGGGGGAACTCAGTGTTAGAATAATGAGGCACTGGAACATACTGCCTAGGGAAGTTGTGGACTCTCCATCACTGGAGACTTCCAAGAACAGGGTGGATAAGCATTGGTGAGGGATTATTGTGCCTGTGCTTTCTTTCCTCCTCTCCTCAACAGGTTAGAAGCCCAGGAGCAAGCACTCATGTTGCTTATTGAGAAGAGCTGTATAATCTAAAGCATGTGGATACTGGAGGTGACAATACTCAGCAGTAGGAGAATGAATCAGAGCCCCGCAACTGTCTTAATTGCAAGAGAATATTAAAGGAACCAGATACATTTATGGAAAGGATATAGAAAAGGAAGTTCTGTCTGTCCAGTAAAAAGGTGTGATATGTGAAGCTATGCTTGCTGTCTCCAGGTTTTCCCCAAATAGGAATAAGGGTTGTTCCTTTTTTCTTTTACCCCTTATTTTTTCTTCTTCAGAAGCATTTGGTGTTAGCTGCAGCTAAAGCTGGAGATTATGACTGGAGTGTGCCAATGTTCCCGCTAGAACTAAAACCCAGAGGTCCCTGGATAGATGGTCTTCCCCATCCACTCAGAGGTAGTCTAATTGCCAGATTTAGGATCAGGAAGGAATTTTACCCCAGATTGATATGAACTAGGGCAGGGGGTGGGGGTGGGGAGGAGGTATTTACTTTCCTCTGTAGCAGATGATATGGCCCTTTTCTGTAGATCTCTTGACTGCATTTTAGCAACCCTTACAGCAGCAGGACACTATTCTCTATTTCTCCCTGCTTTACCTGTGGCAGATTGGGTTCTATGCTGTGACAGAACTGATTGTGTAGTTTTAATAATTGTGTAGTTTTAGTGGTGGCTTGGATTGGGATGATCCTGCCTCAGGCAGAGGACTGGATTAAATGACCTCCACAGGTCCCTTCCAACCCTACATTTTTTTTATGATTATATGGTAATAGCATGAATTGTTGTTGGACTGGGCAAATGATAAACTTTGAAAAAAATGCTCTCTGTACTTATATACTGCTTTTAGCAATGATCTACTAGCATTCTGAAAAGAAAAAAGAACGAAAATGCAAGGCTAATTCAAGGAAAAGTGAAAAAATGTGTTCATGTTGAAGGAAACAGGGGGTCATTTCCTATAGGGAGATTGTGTGGTGCAGTAAATGAGGGACGGAGAAAGGCGATTTATCTCATTCATTTAATCTTTCATACTTGAAAGTTACGATGCAACAGTTAAATCACAGTTTATTTTTGTATACACGTTCTATATTTCTAATGTATTGTAGTGTATATGGCAGGCTACAGCTTCACACCTGGGGCTATTACCTGAGCAGTATAGCTGCTAACCCCATCTTGCCACCTTATCTCTGGTTAGTCATGCAGGCTATCATGAAGCCTTCATCAGGCCTAGCCCTCTCCCCACAAATAGAATCTGAGAGGCCTAGCCAGGGTCAGCTGACCATCTAGTTTCCCCATATAATCCCCTTTCCCAGATCAGGACTATTGATACACAGAGTTGTGGGTGTGAGCCTACAAAGAACCTTCTAAATCTCCTTTGTAATTCAAGGGAGTCATTAATTGTGCATCAACTGATGCGGGGGGACAACAAAAATGACAACAGGGATGGGAGTTGAGGTCAAAGGTTAAGAATAAGTGCTGCAAGGTGGGCCACCAAGGAGAGCACACTGGTCAGCACCCACTGGTTCTTGGAGCAGTTCAAGCAACCAGTGATACCATCCTGTGAAATGTTACCCAGAGACATGCATGGATAGGACTTGGTGTGGCCTTGGACAGGAAAAACATAAACACAAAGGTTCAGGGAGTAGCATAGGTGGAGGGAGGAAAAAAGATTGGGGGGTTGAATGCATGTGCCCCCCCCCAATGGGAAGGGGCGGAGGAGGGGAGAGGGCTGGGGGAGAGGAGGCTGTGGCAGCAAGGTGTGGACACAGGGAGCAGAGGCTGAGCCCAGTTGCAGCCCATCTATGCCCTGTGCAAAGATCAGGGGCCCACATGCCCCCGCATCTCTTGGCTCCCCAGCACTGCACTGGCTATGGAGGAGTCACTGGGCTGCACCAGGTGCAGGACCTGCTGTGCCTGCAAGGCCAAGCCTTCTCCTGCACCCAGACTTGTTGCCTGGCACCAGAGGTCACCACAAATCCACTGCCTTGCACCGCCTGGTGGGGCTTGGATTGAGGCCAGCCTCGGCTGCACCACTGGGCCAGGGATGACAGAGCCCCCAGTACCATGCACCCACCCTGAGTCATCCCTGAGAAGAACCTGGAGAAGCCTGGTGGCTCCTTCAGGGCAGCCATTGTGCCAGGGAATGAAGGGGGTGGGGAACATGGGCCCCCAATCTTTGCATGGGGCAAGGGTAGGCTGCAACTGGGCTCAGCCTCTGCTCCCTGCATTTGTGTCTTGCTGCCACCACTGCTTTGAAAGTGGCACGACAGCATGCAAGTCCTGCCACTAGGAGGGCCCGGCAGTGAGGCACATGATGCTGCACTGCGCCACATTGAAAGCAGTGGTCACAACAAGGCACAGATGCAGGGAGCAGAGGCTGAGACCAGCTGTGGCCCACCCCTGCCATGTGCAAAGATAGGGGGCCCAAATATGCCCCCACCTTCATTCCCCAGCACCACGCTGTTTCTAGAGGAGCTGCCGGGCTCTGATTGCCCCATGATCCAACTTGGCTGGGGCCTGATTCACTGAACTAGGCCCCAGCTGGGCTGGGTTGTGGGGCAATCCCCACAGTGCAGGAGAGAGTGGGGCAGGGGTTAATGATTTGCCCTGCCCCTACCCCACTCTTGATCTGTGCCCTCCCCAGCCTAATTAAAAGAAACTTATCTGCCTGCAGCTGGGCCATCTGCAATCCTGGTTGTGGGTGTGCAGAGCATGTGAGTGTGATCACCCTCCCCCCCTGCAGCAGCAGCCTGCAGCCACTTCCCTCTAACTATATTTGCTGCCCTGCATTTGGGGGAATGAGCCCCGTTAGCCCCCCCCCGCCCCTTCCCCCACCTATGGGGAGTAGTGCAACAAGAACCTCAGCAGGTGTGTACATGAGATGTTTTACTGGAGCTTAGAGATAATTAATTCAGAGTAAGGGTTACTGTCTACAATTGCAGATGCTTATTGTGCAGTCATTTGCAAATGCAAGTAGCAAACTTGCTCTTGGTTACTTATTGTGCAATAGCTTATGTGTAGATGCCTAACCAGGAGCAAATGTGCCCAAAGATTGCTCCCTGTCCCTGGGAGCTGCCTGCTGCCAGGGTGGGCTCTTCCACTGGAGCCTGGGTGGAGACTATATCCTCCTCCCCCAGCAGCAGGGAGCTCCCAGGCCCAGCTTCATGATCAGGGAGCAGAGGCTGAGAAATCCTCATCTCCAAGACTAAGCCCTGCAGTTGCAGGACCTGGGCTTAGAGATCCTTATCTCTGAGCCTCAGCCCCATGGTCACAGGGCCCAGGATAAGAGATTCTCCCAGCACCATCCCCACAACCACAGAGCTGGCACTGGGAGAGAAGAATCTCGCAGCACTGGCCCCACAATCATGGATCTCCCAGCCCAGACCTCGCAGACTGGGTATCCCAGCCCAGATCTCCTAGTCCAGGCCCTGTGATCACAGGGAAGGGCTGGGAGCTCCCTGCTGCAGGGACAGGGGGACATTATCCCCCCCCCAACTCCCTGGGCTCCAGTGTCAGAATCTGCTTTGGCAGCAGGTAACTCCTGGGGGCAGGGAGAAATGTCCCATCCACCACCACGAAATAGCTATCTCCTGGCCCTGTGCTCCCTGCCAGCTCCTGGTCTAGCACCCAAGGGAAGTCTAGAGTCCTAGGGGTGCAGGAAGTGGAAGCAATCTGCTGCTAGGAACAGCATATCTGCTCCCGCATCCCTGCATATGTAGACGTGTGCCTGGGTGAGTTCACTCTAGAGTACTTTACAGTAAACTGCTCCCAGATTATTTGCACATGTAGACCTGCCCAGCAAGAGGTTCATGAGGAGGTGGTGAGGGGGCTGCAGCTTGGTGCACTCAAGATAGGTATGTGCCAGGGCCTCCCTCTACTGGCTGATACAAGAAGT